TTGAGCCCGTCTTGGACCCTGTCTCTGGATGACATGCCATCTTTAATCGAATGGTCGGGTAACTCGGAATAATATGCATAGAAGATTCTTCAAGGAGAGCGAATGTATGCTTTACCAAGCGAATCAGTATAAACTGCATCACCAAACATCTTATGCCACAAAGAGACAATACAATTCGTCTTCTATTAGAACAGAAGAGACACCCACCTGGTGAGAAAGAGTCCGACAGTTAGCCAAATAGGAATTGGACCTTTGGAAGAGACGCCAGACAGGTGGTAGGCTTTATACTTCAACCCCTTTACAGTTTTCAATATCAAAATTAGGTTTCCTGGAATAGGGGATACATATAGCATGTGTATCACAATCAAAAGAGATGTTTGTGGGAGGAGGATCCCAAAGATCAGAGATTTACCAATTGAACTTCCACCAGGCGAGGAAATAACTAGATGTAATACACTCGGATCACATCAATAGGCTCACCAGGCTTCTTATGTCTTTTCTTAAAAGCTTTTCCAAATGATTTCACTCGGGGAGCAAAGACTGGTTGTTGTCGAAAAAATCAGGGAACGTAAAGATGTGGAGACTGTCCTTGATTGAATAGTCAGATGCCCCGAAGTGGTAACCACATCTGACGTTGGTTAACAAGAATGGAGCGTTGATATAAGATCCCATAGTAAATGGGAACCATCTGTTGATAAGATGTTCCAAGAACTCAAGATTGTGTAAAACTCCCTAGTTAAAAGCAATTCCCAAAAGATGAGGAGAAGAGAGAACCTGTTGTGGAAGTAAGTGCAAGATCGTTGACATCATACTCAAAGCTTCCATGACCTGGCTTATCTGAGTCTTTAATCAATTATCTTCCTTCTTGAAGAATTCCCGACCACGGGCCAAAGCTTGCATGTATACCACAACTAACCCTATCAGTATCTTCGTATCGGTCAATCCCCCATGAAGTTATCCCATACTGATCTCTGAACATGTGCAGTAAGAAATCAAGTTGAACCTCTGAGGAGAACACCAAGTCTAAATAAGAATCCCCAATATTCAAGTACCTGTTATGAATGCATGAATGTGCATGGAGTGCATGAATGGATTCCTTGTCATGTTTCGTTATTTCCAAGGAATTTACATGCTTTGATTTTGATTTTACACAAGTAAGGGATGGAAAAGTTCAACACAAGGCTTACAAATATGATTCATTGGAAATAAAAGAACATGTATGTTAAGCATGTGGTTTACCATGTTATGTATGCAAAGACATGGGATCAAATGGGATCAAAGTTCCATCATTTCTGAATATGATTGTTGCACTGTTCTGAATCATATGAATATTATCAGATCAAAGGTCCAATGTAGCTTCCGCACATACAAGAACCAAGTACCCTGTAGACCATCAATTGTATGCTATCAAGGCTTCTGGAACACCGGATACTGCTGAGCATTTCCTCAACATGCTGGGAATACCAAGATTGAAGGCCCAAATGAACCTCCAAGTAAACAAGTCAGGAACTCAGAAAATGAATCTGAGAACCATATGGTCACCAACATCACATACAACCATCATCTGAATATGAGTAACCATCTGAACATAGTCACCATCTGAACATAGTTACCAACTATACCTGTGATAATAATTCACTCCACACTCACGGGTGTACACTAGGTCAAGGTAAGGCAAGGGTAACTCAAAAATCATGGGTCCTCTTAAAAGTAAAATCATCACAACACAGACGTACATGATGAAAATACCTCCAATTGGATCTTATCCGAGCATGGTATATGACACGACTGCACTAATCGGACCACCTCCTATAGCCGTCATGTCCCCACTCTATTCCTAGGTTTCCTAGTGCACTATAGCCTGGGTACTGAGCCTTTTACCTCATAGTAACACCCACCCAATCAAGAAGCCGATCTAGTACAGTAGTAGTATATGGAAATAGTAAAATGCAATGCACACATATGCTCAGGTAATCATGTTTGAATGGATAAACTGAAAGCATAAAAAATAAACACCCACAGAAAAGAAGACAAGAGCTAGGAGCGAATCTGGGATTGACCAACATTTGGTCGACCTATCCCTAGTGAAGTCGCCAGCTGAAACAACCGGATGAAAATCATCAAACAATGAAGTCTCCATCAAACGTCTTTTATCCCACATGAAGTGAAAGGTAAACATCGAGAAAACCTGAGAAGAGAGAAGTCACGGTCTTGCGACTAAGAGATCGGGTAAAGGGGTCTGTTACGCGAGGGGAAGGTATTAGCACCTCACATGCCCATAGTACTCTATGTTATCCGCTCTTGTTATCTATCTTATGGGTGTGCTTAATCTATGCTTAGTGTTTACTTCTAAGGAGGAATGCATGCAAAAGGAATGAGAAAAGAATGTAGGGAAAATAAAGTTGTACTCGCTTGGGCCCTACCCTAATGCATGCGTATCCTTTTTCAGGAATCATAGTTACCGTAGTTCGACTCACATGTTTTGTTTGTTTTGTGTTTTTTATAGACAATGTTAACTCCACCTTCTTCCGTAGATCAGTCTTTGGAGACTCACGCGTTGGCACATAAGTAAATTAATCACGTCCTTACTGAAATTGGTTTTGAGTTATGCCTTCAAGACAAGATACCACATTTGATTGGTTTATATTTTGTCACCTTGAAAAAGGGTTTAGGTATGATTAGCATGTTTTTTATTTGCTATGAGATGAAGTTTTAGTTTTGGATGCAAGGATGAAAAAAAGGGGAAGAAAAGAGTCTACGGGGGACTAGCTTATTTATAACCTAATGTTATCATTCAATGGCGGTCCTAAGATTTGGATTAACAAAAGTGAAATGTCTACCTAATTTTATCATGCATGGTTTACCTAAGGTCTAACTTGTATGCGAACAAAGCAAGAACATCCTAAGGGAACATCGTATGTACAAGGATAAAACAAACAAGCTCAAAAGAGCACACACATAAAATCGTAAGGAAAAGAAGCGAAATGTTTTAGCCAAGGGGAGTGTATCACCCAAGACAAACAAGCGGGAGTAGGATGTAAAACAAAAATGTGATGTCCAAAGCGACTGAACACCTAACTAAGATATAGGAGATCGAGGTGGGCGTCAAAAGACAATATGAACGATTATGGAGTATCAGCATCAACCAATTCGAACTCCTGACAAAGCGTGGGGGTTCAATTATAGAACCCTCCCCCACTTGATGACACGATACACAAGAGCAGGCACAACTCTAAAGCATCATGGTACGTCACAAGCTAAGGATGACACGGACGAAATTGTGGGGGTTGATTGTGAACCCTCCCTGCTCGCCTCCTTTTGAGGACTTCAATAAGGAATGGAGGAATAGTGCGAGCACAAGTATAAACACACCTGCAAAATAACTACACAAAGGTAGGGTTTTAAACAAACCACACACAAGTAGAAAATAGAATGCACACAATGCAGAATTTCCCTAAACAAGTCTTTAAATAAACCAAAGGGGTTCCTGACATGATCAGCAATGGAGACCCTCCGTCATACATCTCTTCCCTACTTCTCATGGCATCAAAAAGCAGTAAAGCCCTACTTCTCATGATCTCTAGAAAAGCAGTAAAGTGAGAAGAAGTACAAAGGTAATAGCGGCGACTACCAAAGCGAGCAAATTGTTAAGAACAGACGAAAGCAATGGAGAAGCAGGGAGTACACGTCGAGCAAGCTTCGCCAAGAAACAAACAAAGTTAGAAATGATATCCATCTAAGATAAAAGCAAACATGTGTTGTGAATGCAATGCGTAATCAGAGGTTCTTACATAAAGCATCATAAAGTATCACATGTATCAGGACAACGTATAATACGATATGAAATTCTCAGGACGATAATAAATAAGGCGTGTGACATCAGAAGCGAGCATAAGCCGTGTGCTTCGATCACATAACTATGTGTTATGTTATATGATAAAAAGCATAAAAATGTACCTTGCACAATGAACAAACGCGTCAAGAATAACGAGGCAAAACAGTATAAAAATATGAATAAAAACTAAAAGGAAAATTATTTTCATTATTAGTTTTTTTTTGTGAGGTAATTCTAAAAAACTACAGAATTAATTTCCTAAAATCGATTAAGAAAGTAACAAATTTTATTGATTTTATCATTTTTATCATGTGAATAAAATCCAAACAAATTGAAATGACTAACAAAAATCAATAAAAAAATAATTACAAATAGAAAAAAATGCCCAGGGGAGTGCAAGCTGGAATCCAGGAGTGTATTGTAGAAATCAGGCGCTGAAAGCCCATTAGGTTGAGTCCATTAGCAAGTTTTTGTTAAGCCTCTAGCATGAAGCTCCAAAAAAAACCAGGGGCATGGGCTTAGAATGATGATGATTACTACAAGGGTTGGGGCGCTAAGCCCAATATCCAAAGTTCAAAAGCAATGTTTTTTTTATGTAAGTCCAAGCATGTTCAAACAACAGGTAACAGACCCAAGAGTTCAGTCTAGGCCCAGATCTTTATTTCAAAGATGTATTCCCATTATAACTATAGGAAAGTAAAAGAGAAATGCTTGCGTTTAGGTTCATCTAGGGTAAGAACATATGTGACGATTAGAATACTCTATACACGAAGCTCTCTTCTTCTTCGCCAAGCTACGCCACAAACTCATTCCTTCAACACCATCATAAATTCGTCAACTCCAGTCGTTTTCATTGAATTCGTTCATTCCTCACTCAACTTCTTTTGTTCCGAACAAAAACATCATCGCGAAATTATCACCATCTTATCTCAACTTCTTTGGCTCCGTCCATTCCCTCACTCTTCTTCTCCGACAACTACCCGTCGTAAACAACCATCATCTCAACTATTCCGTTAGACCTTCGTCCTCCTATTGACTCACATCCAATCAAGAAGAAACTCTAAACCTAAGTTGATGGAGATGAACTAATACGCGCGAGAATGCTTCAAGATGTATCGCAACGTGAAATAGATGGAGGAAATCGAATATTGAGAGGGATGAGATTATGAGAATTACCTGCCGGAGACAAGTCTGGCGCTCCTTGAAACACGAGGATGATAACGATAAAACCAAAGGAAACAGAACTCCAGGTATTTCCGCTTCCTTCTTATTCAACTTTCTGAATTTTTCCCTCTTCTGGTTTTGATTACATGCTTCTGTTATTGCGCGTTGTTGTTACTGATTGCTGCTACCTGACGTTATCATTGATTTCATATTGACATTGCTATTATGATATTGTAGAAGTTGTTGTTGTATATTTATTATGATGGAAGGCCGAGAAGTTTTGCAGAGAATTCTCAGAGAAGATAAAGATTGCAGAGTGAAGATGTTGAAGGCCTCAAACGTGATTCAGAGATAGATCAGGTTCTTGCAGATTTTATGGAAGATGATGATGATGTAGGTGCCGAGAGAGATAGCTTCAGGGAGTTTTTGATATTTTGTGATTTCTTTTGAAAAATGTTGAAGAAGAATAAGATCAAGGTGAGAATCGTTTTTATATATTTTATTTCTCTCTCTCTCTCTCTCTCTCTCTCTCTCTCTCTCTCTCTCTCTCTCTCTCTCTCTCTCTCTCTCTCTCTCTCTCTCTCTCTCTCTCTCTCTCTCTCTCTCTCTCTCTCTCTCTCTCTCTCTCTCTCTCTCTCTCTCTTCTGTATGAACTCTTTGTGAAAGTATCGACTGGAAATCCCTCTCCTCCATTCTGTTATCCTATTTTCTATTATAAGTCTGTTAGAAGTTTGTTGGACTTTGTTAGGAAATTTGGTTAGCTGTGCGGTTGGAAAGTTAGTTAGAGTTTGGTTAACTATTTTTTTTCTAGTTAGGATTGGTTACAGTTAGGAGGTTGGAAGAGTTAGGCAGTTGTGAATCAGTTGGAATCAGTTTGATCTGGTTATGAGAGTTTGTTATTGGATTAGGAATTCTTCTTTTCTGTTGTGTTAGTTGCTTGGATGTCTCAATGTGAACTTACGTTTTCTGTTTTTCTTGAACTGAGGTGTTTATATGGACCAGTTTCCTTTTTCCTTCGCATATTTCCTAGTTTCACAAGTCCTGATTTATATTTCCTATTGCAGCTTTATGTTGTTCACAGTATAGGGCACGACTGTCGTGTAGCTATCAGTTAGTACAAGAACTGGTTTGTGGATATAATGCCGGTTTATGTGAATGCAGGGCTGGTTGTAGCAGGTGGCAACATGGAGGTGATTCTGAGTGTTGTTCTTCTGCAGATATGAACTTGATGCTTGTATATCCATACAAATATTGAAGTCATAACTTAGGAGCCCATTTCGCCATGAATAAAATTGAATAAAAAGATTAAGGATTATGCTAGGTGTATGATTATACTTTGATGTAAATTCCTTTTGTAATGTTCCTTGAATGCCTCATTTGTATTTACAATCTTCTTTGATAAATGTTTTTGAATGTTGACTTGTAATGATTTCCATGTCCATCTGATATAACCTGATCAGACTTGGACCGTCACGGCTGGCTCCGAGCTGAAGTTTTGAACGAGGTGGGGGGGGGGGGGGTACCTGCAAGGCACTCTGATGCTGAAGTGAGTAAGAGTACGAGCAGGCAAAGTGTGAGTATATGTGATAGAATGAATACCTGACCCTCTGGAAACAGAGGGTATTTATAGCCCCCAGCGTTGGGCCAAGGTTCCTTCATTGGGTCGGGCAGGTTTGGCCCAATGGAGGAACTGCCAGGTTCTACGTGCGTAGTGGGGACCCGCACGTGGTTCCCTTCCTGGATGTTCTGCGTGAAGTGCGGGCGGACAGGGACGCGGTCTTTTCAGAGTCCCGTTGAGAGTGTAGTGGACCGTGTCCGCTGTCGAAGGAGCGCTCGAGCTGGGCAGCACGAGGACAGGGGTGTCGCCCAGTGACGTATGTCGGGAAAGCTATGGTCCTTAGGTTGGCGTGACTCCTAGCAGGTTCGTTTGGATTGGGCCTTTATTTTTGCTCTTGGGCTATCCCGGCCCAGTCCAGAACAGGAGCCCCCCAAGTCATGGTTCCTTGAGTTAGGAGCCATGACTTGATCTTAGGTTGCTTCCGTTTCGGGGCCCCGTACCCGGGAAAGAGATGCAGCTCCTCGTGGGGGTACTCGAGGGTTTCCCCGTGTCGTGCTCGGGGACAGGTTCCCTCCGAGGAATGCTCGGGGATTCCTCAACAGCCTGCACCTGTCGAGCACGCGAGGTCTCTTTTGGGAACCGTGCCGCCACCATATGAGGATAGGGTCATCATTGCCTAGGGGAGCTGCGCGTCAAGGAGGGGAATCCGTGGTTGCCTGAGGTGACGTTTGGTATTCCACGTCATCACTTTAAATAGGATCCTTGGGCCCCAGAACGTGTTTCTACTCTTCGCACTTCTCCTCTTCGCTCTGTTTCTGCTGCTGTTGATCTTCCCAGATTCTCATAGCGCCGCCGCGATCTCCCTCACCGATTCCTTTCCTCCGCCGTCAAATCTACTTCTTGATTCCAAGTAAGTGACTTGTCTCCTCTGTTTTTCTGTTGTGATGCATGATTTTTCTTCGTTTTTAGATGTTTAGAGACCGTAAGCCTAGAATTAGCCCGGTAAATTCGTGTTTAGCTTGACAAACCCACGCGTATGTTTGGTAAGCGCACGCTCGTGCCCGGTAAATGCATAGTATGGGGTTTTAATACGCAATGCTGCCCGGGATCTTCATGATCTAAGGCGCCTGATTCATGATCGTGCCCGGTAGATTCATAGCTCTAGCTCTAGGCTTTATGATTTTGCTCGTCATGTTCATACCCTGGGTCGACGTGTTCACGAGTGACCGAGTTGTGGGTTCATTTAGTCGACTTGTAGGAGGACCTGTCGAGGTATCTGGGAGTCGGGGAGATGGTTGCTGTTTTTTGTTCCACAACACCAACTACACAGTCGCGCGCGGAGCGACGTGGTTTGTCGTGCCCTTCATCTCGTCCGTTATGGCGAGCGTATGGTTTCGCGACCAATTGATTGGTTTCCCCGTGCTTTGTAGGTAACCATGGCGGACGAACCTTGCTCTTCAGGACGGCTCGAGGTGGAAGAACAAAGTGCTGACGAGAATGTCAGCTTGGTCGACACCATAGATGACCCCTTGCTGGAATGGGTGGGTGCCGAACCTAGAGGGATAGCTTCGGTTTATAGTCGGCGCAGCCGAAGGGCATACACTATCCTTGAGGCGGGCCACAACCAGCCCGACTTCCAGAAGAATTTCGTGGTCACTCGACCATCTTTTACTGCTCGAATTTGCTCGGTGTTCCCCGAGTACAGTTTCCCTATGTATGAAATTGCTTTTAAAGACCTTGGGTTGCAACTGCGTTTCAACGATTTCCAGGTCGGGGTCTTTAGCCATCTGGGGCTGGCCCCGTCGCAGCTTCATCCTAATTCGCTCGCGTTTATCCGGGCGTTTGAGTTAACTTGCCGTTTTCTGAGGATCGGGGCGACTATACCCCTCTTCTTCAGAGTCTTCCACCTGCAGCGCCAATCTCGGGGTGGAAAGCATAACTGGGTTTCCCTGAAACAGTCGAAGAGAATTTTCAGGATGTACATGGACTCCGTGCGGGGTTTTAAAGACAAATTGTATGTAGTGAGGCCGGTTACTACGGCAGGTTTAGAGTCCGTGTACGAGGAGGAAGCGGTCATAACCAACGACGACGGGGAGGCCCTTTTGGACGGCGAAGGGCGTCCGGTGTTAGGGCGCACAGCCAAATTTCCCATGCATTGGATCTCGAGGCATTATGAGCACGGTACCGGGTATTACCATACGTCCGCGGGCGATATGAGCTCCGAGGACGAGAAGGCTTACGACACTCTTTGTCAGTATGTTGATAGCTTCCACCCCGCCAGATGGGCCACGAGGGAGGGGGAGGATATTCTGGATGATGAGGGTTATCCGACCTTCGAGGCTCGACCAATTGACACGAAGGCACTCGTGGAATGCCAGTCCTTTGGGCAGGCTGCGCGTTTGCTAGGTCGTTTATTGTTTGAATGTCTTGTCATTTGTTTGCTTATTTTCTCGGAACTAACCCGGGTTTTTTCGTGCAGGTTCAATGGCTGGACGAAGGGAGAGGCTCTTGAAGCTGTCCTGCGACAGAAAGGTGAATAAAAGGGTGGTGAGAGCTCCTCAGGCGACGAGGATGGGCCCGCCGCATAGCCCGGGCATTTCTCAGGCAACGAGGGTGGACTATCCACCTGGCTCGAGGACTGCTTCAGCAGGGACTCCGGTTGTTCAGGAGGTCGAGCCACACACCGACCTGATACAGAGAAAAAGGACTCGGGTGGAGAGTTAGCCGGAAGTTGGCGAGGACTCTAGTGCTGTGAGGTCTTTCAGGTTTCCCCCTTGCTTTAACGAAGAGGGTTTCTTCGAGGTGTTTCCTTTGTCTATGAATCCTGATGAAGCTGAAACCATCCGCCGGATGGACAAGGAAAGCCGGAGAAGACACCTGGCCGCCAACATGGCCGGGCTGGTGAAGATGGTCGAAATGGCCGTTGTACTGGCCGAGGAGGGGGAGGATGCTGACTGTGTTAAGGAGTTGGAACAGGAGAAGGCTGCCCTCACCTCGACTTCGAGAAAGCTGAAAGCTGCCCTGGAGCGCTCCGAGGAGATGTTCCGCGAGCAAGCTGAGCTGCTGGTGGCGGAGACGGAGGCGCTGACTCTGGAGAGAGAGAGCTCGGGGAAGCTGGCCGAGGAGAGGGACCTTCTTCGTGTGGATCGTGAACGACTGGAACTCGACAACGGGCGCCTTGCCAGGGAAGTCGAGGACCTAAAGGTTGTTATGCTTCCTGCCGAGGATGAGTCGGAGGACACAGCTCTTCTGAGAAGTCGATCGGAACTAGTAGGTCGCATTCAAATTCTCGAGGGGGACTGTGTCGGGGCTATGGTGGACGGCTTCGAAGCCGCGGTCAGCCAACTTTCCTTGTTAAATCCTGGCCTGAACACTGAAGGGGTGAGCCATATGTCACAGATTATCGATGGTCGGATCGTGCCTCCGCCCGACTCTCCTGTTGTTGGTGATGGTAGCTCGGGGGAAGCCGAAGTGTGAAATAGTGGTGGGGCCTGCGTGCCTCGTTGATGTTTGTTTTGGGCCTGCGTGCCCGTTCACATTATTTTGGCCTGTGTGCCCGCTCTTTGTATTCCTGAATATTGCCGGCCTTTTTGATTGGTTTACACTTTATTTGATTTGTCGCCTACGAGCACTTAAATGAATGCTTTGTTTCAATTATGATTGTTTGCTTGTGCTTGTATTTTATACTTTTATGCAAAATGTGGCCTAAGTTATGGGCCCGAGGTGTGCCCGTAAGTGGTTGTGACTCTGCTGGTAAATTTGCCAAGTCTTTTGTTCGTGTATGCGCTCGGCCTCTTATTGATTGCCTAAGTCTCCCAAGTGGTGAACTCGAGGGGAGAGACTCCTTTTTGACCCTTTTAGATGACCCGACGTTCCTAGAGATTCGTCGGGCTGGCGGAGCGAGACCGCTTGGTCGGATACGCGATCCGGTCGGGGCTATCTGCCCGCGGCGTGAACTGCCCATCGCGAGCTGGGTGTTCTGCCCTACCGGTACTTCGACGGTGGAGCTCGATAGAGGTGTCCTCGTCGGGAATTATCGTCTGTTTATATTCAAACGATGTTATGCGGTTTGGATGTAGGTCGGGCCTGTACCTTGGCCTCTCTACGGGGTTGGACGCTTCTCCTCGTTGACTGGGCGCGTGAGCCGACAGCCGAGGGTCCTCATTGATGGTGGTTTTCAACTATAGTACTGCTTTAGTTTAGCAGCGTTCCAGGGTCGTGGTAATGGCTCTCCGTCTAATTGCTCGAGGTAGTACGCCCCGGTACCGGTGGTGCCGTGGACGCGATAAGGCCCTTCCCAGTTCGCGGCTAGCTTCCCTTCGTGGGAATCTTTCTGGTTTCTTCGTAATACCAGGCTGCCGATTTCGAACTCGCGCTTAATGACCTTATCATTGTGGCGCAGAGCCACTCGCTGTTTCAGGGTGGCTTCACGCAGGGCTGCACCAGATCGGATTTCCTCGACTAAGTCGAGCTCGTCCCTTAGCGCCTCGTCGTTCATCTCTTCGTCGAGGGGGGTTTCTATCCGTCTGGATGGCTCCATGATCTCTACCGGGATGACGGCCTCGGTCCCGTATGTTAGTCGGAATGGGGTCTCGCCCGTCGTTGAGTGGGGCGTGGTGCGGTAAGCCCACAAGACACTGTGGAGCTCCTCGACCCATCCCCTCTTCGCTTCACCGAGCCGGCGTTTGAGTCCCCGG